GAGAACATTTTGAGCGAGATTTTTGCCGCGGCGGCCCGGTTAGGTCGGGGGCGGCACGTGAGCGAAGAGCAGGCGGGCCAGTCCGACAGAGACGCCACCAGCTGACGTCGAGAAACTGCACCGATGAGAGGAACTAAGGGGGTTGGCCGCCCCCCCCCCCCTCCACCCTCGCTCACTCTCACCCCGGCAGACCTTGGCCGGCCCTGACCGGACCGGCGGCCACGATGTGGGCGAGGGAGAGCGACAGGGTACATGTGCTGCTCGTTTCTCTTTCGCGAGGGGTTGAATCCCTGTTGCAGTAATCTGTACAGCCTGCCCATGACTAACTATCAAAAGTTCCAGGGCAGCAAGTTCTGTCACATTACAATCACCTCAACTACTACTACATGAACAAAACAAAACGTAAGAGGCCTTCATGCGCTGTTGCAAACGTTAGGCCGTTAGGTGCTCGCCCGACGACGGGCATCAGAGCTCGCGACCGCAGATAATCTGTAAGCATGTTGAGCATATGTGTTGCTTAGTGATACTATCTTTCGGAACAAAGAGGTCATAGGCAAACATGCAGAGAGAGCTACGCCTCGCTCATCAATAAGTTGCTGTAGCGGCGATGAGCTCTGCCTGCCCGCCCCCCCGGCCCCCCGCACTCTCACCTGCCCTCCTACCGATGCCCGCTGCTGTCCTGCCCCGAGCCCTCGTCCCAGCGCAGTCAGTCAGTCATATGGGCCACCACAGACCGCCACAGGCGGATACCGATAAAGGCACCCCCCAGAGCCGCGACAGGATAAGCCGAACGCTGTCTGCCCGGCTCGGCCCAGCCGCGTCTGGTGTGGTGCTGTTTTGATTGGCACGTGGATCCAATCCGCCGCATCGCTTTTGTATCGTTTGTTTGTATTGCTGGGGCGGGGGGCGCCGCCGGTTGCGCCACGCTCCTGTGCCGATCACACAAGCAGCGCGTAAGGTCACACGGGACGCAGCGCTTTTGTTTTGTCCGATATCGCCGCGAGCGCTGATCCGATGAAGTCATTTTCGACGATAAGTTGGCGATCCACCGCGCCATGTTTTGGCGATACAGTGTTTGATGACTACTATCTAAATCGGACTAAAATCCTTAAAATACAAATCAGCATCAAAGCTACAAGTTTGTATGCGCCGTCATAATTTGGCTTTAGATTGACAAGAATACATTTAAATATTGAAACATTGCTGAGACCGAGTCGACCTGTTGCGCCAAGCGGACCGTCGTCGTGAAGAAAGGATCGGACGACACGAGACGACAGCAGCCGCCATACGCCGCCGGGGGAAATCGGTTTCATAATTAACGAGGAAGGAGAGACACCGCGCCACTGCTGCTGCTGATTCTGCTGCCACAGCGGTGTCGGTGTCGACCCTCCGGTGTATTTCGTTTCGGTTGGAGGAAAAAAAGTCGGGGAGTGAAGCGGAAAAAGGAGGGGAGGGGGGCATGGATGGTCCCTGCAGGGAGGCCGGGAGGGTATTTGTTTTGAGCCCAGCTCAGCGGCGGCTATTGTCTGGAGGGGACACGCGGAGGACAGACCCGAAGGAAAATAATGCAGAGAAGAAAGGAAAATAATAAAAAAAACAATGACGATTCGGTGACTTTGGTTCAGGACAAGCTGGATTGACAGGCATTACTGGCGACAGTTCTACCGAATCTGCCGGATTATCCGTATCTAGAGTGCATTGCGCCTGTGGATGTCCAGGTTGGCAACCCGACGGCGACAGGCATGTGTAACATGCCTGCCTACCTGCGGGGCGCCTGCTGGGCTTCGGGTAGGCAACCCGACGGCACGAGTGCACGACGGGCCAGCCTACCTCCACGGGGCCTACCCCGACCCAGATCCCTATCGCATCGATGATGGGCGGATCGATGAAAAATTAAAAAAGAAAATGTGTTACGGTTCACCACTTGGCTATTCTGCCTTGATACACAACGCAACGGGCAGAAGCTTACCAAAATTGGGCCATCGGCTGACCCTCCCCTTCCCCTGTTGAAAACGTAATGACTGAATGGGAGGTCTGTCCAGGTCAGCGGCGCCCGATCAGACAAACTCGTGTGCTTGTGGGCGGGGCGGGAGGGAGAAGGGTGAGAGTGGGTGTTACCTGGAAACAGGTAGTCACGGCCGTCAACTGTGATGGCCGTGAGACGGTGCGGCGTGGGCGTTGGGGTAGCGTGTAAACCGACCCAGCGGCCAGTAAGTGGGTGAGGTGAGGGTCGTAGACTTCCCCGAACACAATCACACCGCCCCAGTGGCGGTGGCGAGGCCGCCAGGCACCGGGCGCCGGGCGCCGCCCCGCGCCACGCCGTCTAGCCCGGCGCACCGCACTCGCTCCTCATGACACTTGCATGCGCCCGGGCGGCCTGCCGGGCACCCTTACGACCGGGCCGGAACGGCCAAGCCGAGCCCTGAACCCGCCGAGCCCGTGGCCCTTGTACACAGAGGTTCATGGCCGCTCCGCCCCGCCCCTCCTCGCTCGCGTCTCGACTACGGCCTTCACACTCAAAGTGGGTCAGGTAACGCAGCAACCCCTGCTACGTACCGCTTATGCGGATGGAAAAAAAAATGTTTGGTGGTGTCCGTCAGAAGGTAACGCCAATTTTTATTGTTATCTACAAAAGAATGTTACACAGCTGAAAAAGAACCAGGGTTCAATGTTCAAAAGGAAACAAAAACATTCGTTCTTTGTAGACTACTTTTTTGGTGTTTTCCCAAGTGGCCGCCAAATAAATTCGTTATTATCTTCTTGCTGCCGCTTTGCCGCAATTTCGGCTGCACCTTCAGCTCCACCAGGCACGGATCAGGGGGCAGTTAGGCTACACGAGGACATCCTGCAGGTGCGACAGCTGCAGCTGGTCCGGGCAGCTGGCGGCAGGCGAGCGCACGGAACAAACCGCCAGCTGTGGGTTAGGTTTGGCCGGGTCAAAAAGCAAGCAGCTCGAGCGATAACGCGCGCGGGCGTAGATAAGCTCGCGCTGCGGCTGGGCTGGCCC